GGGCTTAGGACTACCAAATTCAGCATCACCTGTGAAGATCGCTGTTTTATGGCCCTGTTTTGAAGTTTTCTCAAAGATCCCTTTTAACTGTTCCTTTTCATTGTTACCCTCCAGAATTCTCTGTAAAATGTCCGGCAAAGCAGTCTCTGCTGATTCTTGCCTCATTCTGTTTTGAGAGATTCTAGCAAAGTAGGGAATCATCTGCTTCCTGTTTAAAAGAAAACACTCATCATAAGTAACCATTATAAAACACTGCATTCATTTCTGCTTTGTAGTGAGCATCACACTTAACCGTTTCCATGACATATCTTTTTTTTTTCTTTTGAGACGGAGCCTCACTCTGTCACCCAGGCTGGAGTATGGAGGTGTGATCTTGGCTCACTGCAACCTCCACCTGCCAAGTTAAAGTGGTTCTCCTGCCTCAGCCTCCTGAATAGCTGGGATTACAGGTGCTTGCCACCAAGCCTGGCTAATCTTTGTATTTTTAGTAGAGATGGGGTTTCACCCTGATGGCCAGGCTGGTCTCGAACTCCTGACCTCAGGTGATCCACCCGCCTTGGCCTCCCAAGGTGCTGAGATTACAGGCGTGAGCCACTGTGCCCGGTCTCCATGACATATCTTGATACATAAACAAGCTTGCGATCTGATTGTAGCCAATTTTATTTTGTAACTGAGAGGGAAAATATCATCCAACAGGTAGAAATAAATTGCTCCCACAATTAACTACCATTAACCAAAAATTCATCAAAATATTTCTGTTAGGGCTAGGCGTGGGGGCTCATGCCTATAATCCCAGCATTCTGGGAGGTGGGAGGACTGCTTGATACCAGGAGTTCAAAAGAAGCCTGGGCAACAAATCAAGACCCCATCTCTACAAAAATTAAAAAATTAGCCGATCAGGGTGGTGCCTATCTTCCCAGCTACTGGGGAGGCTGAGGTGAGAGGATTGCTTGAGCTCAGAAGGTTGAGGCTGCAGTGAGCTGTGATGGCACCACCGCACTCCAGCCTGGCTGACAGAGACACTGTCTCTAAAACAAAACAAAACCTGTTGTTAGTGATGCCTTGCTAAGCAACGATGAATTCTTTATTTATAACATCCCGGCTCTGCAGGTAAGAGCAAAAATTTTCTAAAAATATATGACAGAATTCACATCAGAAAGTTTGTCTTTGGTCTAGTAAAAAGAGACTACATTCTTCAATTAGATTAACAATTTTATTTAATTAAAGTATTAATATTATAATTTCCAGCCGATTTTTTTTGAGGTAGATATTTATTATAGTAATATAATACTATGAGCCAAAGTACTATGAAACCATTTCATCCCAGTCAGGTGGTTACATCAGCTTAAAAAAGACAAAATAAATTCTGGGTGGATAGGGGACTGGAAACGCTTGTCTCTGTTGGCTGGACATACAACGGTTTAGCACTGTGGCAGACGGCAGGCACTGCCTCAGTAAGTTAAATGCAGAACTGCCATGTGAGCCATCATTTCTACTTTCTACCCAAAAGACTTGAAAACAAGCGTTCAAACAAAAATTTACATCTGAATGTTTATAACAGCATTATTTACAATAGCCGGACGATCCTAAGTGTTCATCCATGAGTGAATGAATAAACAAAATATGGTCCATCCCTACAACAGAATATTGTTCAGCCATTAAAAGGAACATAGCTCTGAAACATGCTGTAACATACATAAGCCTTGACAACATCACGCTAAGTGAAGGAAGCCAGACACAGAAGGATACCTCGTGTGTGATTACATTGACAGGAAATGCCCAGAATAGGCAAATTTGTAGAGACAGGAGGCAGATGGATAGTTCTAGGGGTTGACGTGAGGGGGAAATGGGAAATGGCAGCTTAATAGGCGCAGACTTTTCTTTTGGGGATGAGGAGAATGTTCTGGAACTAGGCTGAGATGGTGGTTGCCCAACACTGTGAATGTGCTAAATGCCACTGAATTGTTCACTTTAAAATGGATAAGATGGTAAATTTTATGTTATGTGTAGTTGTACAGTAATTCTTTTTTTTGAGACAGAGTCTTGCTCTGTAACCCAGGCTGGAGGGCAGTGGCGTGATCTCGGCTCACTGCAACCTCCACCTCCTGGGTTCAAGCGATTCTCCTTCCTCAGTCTCCCAAGTAGCTGGGAACACAGGTGCCTGCCACCACACCTGGCTAATTTTTTTTTCTTTTTTTTGTATTTTTAGTAGAGATGGGGTTTCACCATATTAGCCAGGATGGTCTCGATCTCCTGACCTCATGATGCACCCACCTCAGCCTCCCAAAGGGTTGGGATTACAGGCGTGAGCCACCATGCCCAGCTGTCATACAATAATTAAAAAAATTATGTTGCTTGTGTTCTATGGATTTAATAATCAAACCATTAAACATAAAGTGTTCAGAGTGGAATCTCAACAAGGCCATTAAACAGATAGGACTCGGCTTAATTTTTAACTCAACAAAGAATCATACGGAGTAAAAATACATTTAAGGAGAGGCATTTATCATCATCTGTAAATAAGGTTTCCAGGGGACAGTGTTGAAGCACCCTATTCCATTCTTTCAAAGCGATTAAAAAGTTGGAAAGTTGGAAACAGCATAATGTTGAGGGTGTGTTTAATATTTTGATGTTTACAAAGAGGGGAATTTAATTCAGTCTAAGATGTGTCTGTATCAAGCATATATTGGCTTTGAGTGATATTGAGAACACACGGGGGCCATGACTATTTCTTGAGTGCTCATTCCCTGGCGATTTTGTGCCTCTCGATAGAATGGACCTTATCAGATGCTATTTGGGCTCTTCTCGGTAGTAAAGATCTTGAACCTGATTTAAACATGAGATACCCAGAATAAGGAAGAGCAAATCTGTGGAATAAGCCGCAACCCTGTAGCAGTTTTACTTCGTAACATGACTGCAGGTTTATTTTGAGTGATGATTTATGTGGGCCCTGTAATTTCATGCTAAGTCTTAATTGTTTCCTATGACTAAATAGTCTGCCATAGGCTAGACATAAACTTGGAATTTAATATTCTATTAAATCCAAGAGCTGCAGATTTCAGAACTATCTGACCAGTGGCAAATGTGAAGTCTTTAAAAGAAGTCCATGCCAAGAATGGAGCCCACAAGGAGTTTGGAAAACTTAGCTTTCTTGGCATGTTCCATGATGGCTCAAATATTAGAACTAATTTATAGCTCCATCTGTACCTCATGGAGACCTCGCAAGCTGGAACTCATATCACTTTTCCTTTTTAGACAGTCAAAACCACAGGTTATACTAAAAAACGAGGACAGAAGTCCAGCAAAGCAGTGATTTCTCCTCAGCTAAAACACAGACTGCATTAAAACCACATGTTGCTGAGTGCTGGCTGGCCAGGCCAGACTTTAGAGTAAGGCTGAAGGCACGAAGCTGGGATGGATGGAGGAGCGTTTGCTCAGATGTGTAGGCCCTTAATGCTCCATGCGGCATGTGGCCGGTGGTTCTGCAAAAGCCAGAGAGGAGTCGCATAAAGGCCCTGGAGCTTTGTCAGAGGCAGAGTCTGTAGGAGTCCACTGTGATGGGTGGAGCCCAGTGCTGGTAATCAGATCGCATTTTGCCATAGCCAGAACTTTAACCACTAGGGAGTCAAAAAGTCACCATCTGAAGACGGAAAGAACAACATTTGAAGAAGAGTCCTCGGAGTTGAGAGGGCCTTTGTGCTCTCTCAAGATGTAGGCACTTGTGATTTAAATCTGGAAATACTTTTTAAAAAGGAAAGCCATTTTTTCAAGTTTTAAAATTCAAATGAGCTATATTGTGTGATGATTCCAAGAAGTAAAGCGTGCATGTGTGTTCTGCTTCAGGGGCAGGCAGCCCATGGCAGCCATCATGGCGTCTTCTCCTGTGGTGGGAGGCTGTTCTTAGGATCTGCTTCCGGGGCAGGTGGCCCATGGCAGCCATCATGGCGTCTTCTCCTGTGGTGGGAGGCTGTTCTTAGGACAAGCCTTTTCCCCCTGAGGGCACCGAAAGGCGAGCCTGGTTGATGCTGGGCTCACAGCTTTTACTCCCTGAGCTGGAAGGCTGAGAGTAGCATCAGTAAGCAACCGACTTTGTGGTCCTCACGTGTCTTAACCTGGCCCTGATTGTGCAGGTTAGGGAGAAACAAGGCCTGTTCGTGGCACACATGGATCCTGCATTAATGCTTTTCAAGTCTCTGGAAGTCTAAAGACTTTTCCAGTTTTGCTCGTCCTTGGGGTGTCTTCTTAAGTAGTAGCAGCGACATTGTGCCTTCTGTGAAATCTCAGTGTTGTTGGGACGGTGGGATGTGGAGCAACTGGGGCAGAGGACGAGGCTTTCTAAGAAGACCCGACCCTTGTATCCACGTGATGGTTGGATTTCCATGTGAAGGTGGAAGAGGCAGGACGGGAAACAGAGAAAAGGGACGAGCCAAGTTCTCCTCTCAGGCTGGTCTCAGTGAGACAGTGCCCTGGGCTGCAGCTGTGGTTGGAAGTCCCACCCTGTGCATCCTAAGACCCCCCCCCCCGGTCAGTTCCCTTTGGTCTGTTTTTAACGGTGGCATCTAGCCCTCCCCACCCTCTGCATCTGGACTTTATCCTGGTGTGTTCAGGTGGACGTCCTTAAATCTGAGGACAGCCTGCCTGCGTCCCACCGGACAGCTGGCATTTCCCCATTTTCAGGAAGCAGGGGCCACCTGTTTCCCCAGGGATAAGCTGTGGGGCCTTCCTGGGCCTCAGTGTTCTTACTCACTCAATGTGGAGAATGGTCCTGCCCTTCCCACCCCTGGGCCTTGCATCAGATAGGACCAGGACGGCATGTGACAGGCACCTGCCCTTCTTCTGGGGCTCCCTTTGCTGAGAGCTGAGCTGCCTGCGAAGCCCCTTCCAACCTCCAGGTCCTCAGCACTCCTGCCTGACTCATGCCTTCGCATTTTTCAACGTTCCTATCTGTTCCATCTTCTTCCCATTGCATAACCGCTCCTCTGCCCTGTTCTTCCCTACAGACGTGTCCAGGTGTGTGGCCGAAAGGAAGTACACCCAGGAGCAAGCCCGGAAGGAGTTTCAGCAAGTGTTCATTCCGGAGTGCAATGACGACGGCACCTACAGTCAGGTTACCAGCCTTGCTTGGGAGGTTCTGCACCTGGGCAATTAGGGAGAGAGATGTGGAGTGGGTGTGGGGAGAAGGCAGGTGAGGGGGAGCCGAACAGAAGAAGCAGCAGGTTTGTTCTCTGGGGAAATCAGCCTTCTGCATTTTAGAAGTTAATTCATGATGAGCCTACTTGACATACATAGACACATAAATGAGGTGTGTGTTTATGTCTTAGTTGGTGCAGGCATTTATATCATTGCTGCTGTCATTCACACTTTCATTACTATGAGTTTAGCACAGGAAGCTTCCTTAGTGAGGCCAATTAGACCATGCTAACCTGGCTTGCAGCTTAGAATTTAATTTTAGTTTGATGTTAATTACGGGGAGCACACAGTAAAAGATGTGTCTGTGCCAAGAGTGAGCTCCGGGATCATTCATTCCAACCTGATGGGCCCACAGGCATGGAGCTGAGCCAAGTCAAATTCCCGTTGTCAGCCAAAGGCACTGTTGAGAAAGTCACCCAGCTCTCCGTTTTGAGTGTGTCAATGCTGTTATTCCTTATTAAGGAAAAACAAAGTACTAACATGCAATGCTAACTCACACAGGGGCAGAAAAAACAGCATGGGTTCTGCACTTTGACATGCCTGTGGCCCATTGGGTGATGATGTGAGTTCTGTGTGTTTACATCATCGTTTGGCCTTTGGGAGACAATGAGGGAGAGAACAAGAGAGAGACAGAAAGAGAGAGAGAGGAACTGGAGCTGAAGGAACTGGCTGCTCTGACTGTGGTTGCAAGGGGAGTGGGCGATGCAGGCTGCAGAGTGAACACTAAAGAGGCCGAGGTTGCTCTCCTGGCTCTGCAGTGGAGAGCTCCTGACCTTCCCGGGCCTCAGTTTCCCCATTCATAAGATAAGGGCTGGGGCTCCATCTGGAAGGTGGTGAGGATTAGTGACTTCACAGGTAATGTGTCCAGCACACACTAGCAGTCAGTAAAGTGCTGATTTGGGCCCCTTTTGTCTTTAAAACCTTGGGGTCAAGACCTGCACACTTTCTTTACCGGGGACTCAAATGCAGCCACAGAAGTAGCTCTGGGTATCCCACGACCTGTCTGAGCCAGTGCCGCAGAAAGCAGAGTGGGCCTCGCAGCCGTGAGGCGCTGTGCTGCGGGCCCGGGAGGCTCACCTGTCCTGTGCTTTCTCGCAGGTCCAGTGTCACAGCTACACGGGATACTGCTGGTGCGTCACGCCCAACGGGAGGCCCATCAGCGGCACCGCCGTGGCCCACAAGACGCCCCGGTGCCCGGGTAGGTCTGACGTGCCTTTCCAAGTGGAAGGCTTTAAGGGAATTGGTTTGCCGTGTCTTCTAATCATCTTCCCTGGGTTCACTTATAATTCAAAGGGAAATCCAGTTTGGGTGACATTGTGAGCCACAGTGGGAATAGATCTTGTCGCTGACAAAGCCTACGTTTTAGGGAGCGCTTGTTTTTAAGAGGGGAAGGGCGAAGCTATGTGAATGTATGCGTATGACTGGAGGTCAGCTTGCTGAAGGAAGGCAGCTCTGCATCTGATCATGATGGGTTGTGATGATTCAGGTCCCTTAATTGTTTAAAATAACCACAAGGACTTGGAGTCACCAGTGGAAATGACCAAATGTTTTCTTTGGCCAAAAAAGTGAAAATTGCTGGTTTTGTATGTACATGTTTTCAAAGAAAAATGGTTCTTTCTTCATAAGTCAATTTCAAAATGGTTTGTATTATTTTATTACTCGTAAGAGGGTTTGATGTACTAAAAGTAATAAAATTAGAAGTTTAAAAATCTGTAAAATATTCTCTTTCCCATTAGTTCTTTTTTTTTTTTTTTTGCCAACCATGCTGTAAATGATTTATATCATTTTTATTTGAAAATAATCTGCAGCCCAAGTTTGATTAATCTGTGGGGCAGACTTATCAGACCATCTGTGAAGAAATGCTATGATCTAGCCCTCCAGATTCCTGGATCATCTGTGTTAAGACAGTCAAAACACATCATTATATAGCAATAATAAACTACAAAATGCCTCTCCCTGTTTTTCATGTACAATCTTGAAACATTTACATTTAGAGTTTACCTTTAGATTTTTTTTCTATTTAAGGGACAGGTATCTTTTAATCTGGAATTCTGTTTGTTATTCAGATATTTTTCAAGCTTCCTGAGCCATGGCCCTGGCCAGAACTCATGACCTCTGTGGGTTCCATGAGAATGAAGGTGTCCACAGTCAGCAATGACATAAGGTCTAGTGTTTCCAGTGACTGGCCATGGGGATGCACAATGTGGAATTAAAATACGTTTGTTTGTAAAAGCTTTTTCTCCAGAGCCTAAATAGTGCTGGAAATATATCTTTAATTAAGCTAACATGTATACCTAACAGTTCTGTTGCAAACTCATGGAGGAAATGAAACAGAAAAACATCACCAAGATTAACTGGGTCTGTGTGTGTCCCTCTTTCACTTTGAGAGACACTTTCATATCCTATTTCCTTTATCCACAAGCAGCATTTTGAGGTGAGCCTTGTTTTATGAAGGGGAAAGCAGTATGGGGTAGGGGCATCTATTTATGTTGTTCTAGTGATATCATCTGATAATTAAGGAGGGTCCCAAAGAACTTACTTAGAAAACATGTGCAAAATTGGCTGAATTTTGTACAATCTACAAATAGTGGCTTGTTTCTGGAATCAAATCAGTGTACCGTTTACTCAACGTTGTTGCTTCCAACTAGGTCTCAGTAACCTTTCACTGTATAGAAATATTCCTTTTGTTTTAACTGCCTATGTGGAGTGTTTGGTCCAAGGAATGGACTGGGGAAGAGAGTAGACGGGCCTTTGCATATAGAAGTCTGGTGTTTATTGGGTAGCACATGGGCTGGGCAGGAAGCCAGGCGTGTGAGATGAAAAGCTTCAACGCTGAGGGGCAGTTTCCCTGGGGAGATGGTGCTGTCTGGGAGGGGGCAATGTTTCCACATTGGGGCAGGGTTCCGCTGGCTGCACCCTTGATGCTGGCATGGCCAGCATCCTTCTACCCCTGGTTCACCTGGTCGGTGCGACTAGTATATTCCACAGGTCTACAGAGTTATCAAAAAACTCTCTTAATCCCCGGCTGTGTTCCAGGCTTCCCCTCCGCACACATGTGGGCACGGGGGAGCCAGTGTCGTGCGAGGGTCACTTTGGAAGCTTTATGGAGTCATGGCAAATTATGGAGAGAATTTTGAAATTGAAGGGAGAATTATGGGGGAGAGAGTTGTTGGGTATACTTACCCCCCAAACACGAAGGATTTATCATCGGTGTTTGCATACTGCAATTTAACTTCTTCCTGGAAGTTACCACAGCCCTCACAAATAATGCAGAGAAGCAGAAAAGTGGGCATCACCTGTGAGATCGTGGTCAATAGCATGGACCACAGCTAGGCAGCGTCTTGATCTGTAGGCACCAGGGAGCTGACCCTCTGGGCACACCCTCGGGGGTTCACGGAGAAGTCAGCACATACACAGAACGGCTAATCTGCAGCATCCACTGTCTGTATGTGGCGGGAGTACTTTTCACCAAGTTTACTAACATTGGGTAAATTTCAGTATTTAATAAATGTTTTTTGCCCTCAAGTTTATACCGAGGTTACCATAGAAGTAGACTGTAAAAATTTGAAAATCAGACAGTGAGATTTAAAATGAACAGTAGATAGGAGCTGTTTTTTGGAAAGTGCATGTTTGTGTGTTTATGAATAATACATGCAAACGTACCTTGAGGCCAGCCACAGTGGAGGGAAACGGAGGTCCACTGACTGGCATGATTCCTGGAGAGTGGAGAAAGCCCTTGCCCCAAAGCCTCTCAGCAATTCAATTGTTTCAGAATGATCTTTAATAGCAAATGGATTCCTTTATTTCATAATTATGTATTCTTAAAGCCATGAATGCAAAATACCTAAATTCCTATTAATCCATAAATTCCTATTAATCAAATAATATAATGAGAAAATCCAGCAGAAAAATGGCCAAAAGTCTTGAGCAGGTGGCATTTTATTTATAAAGGAAAAAAATCCTAATGATCAGTAAAGGCAGGAAAAGGTGCATAGGTTCTTCAGTCCCAGGGAACTACAAATTAAAGTCACAAAGTCACAGTGCAACTCCCCTCCACACCCGCTGGTCTGGCAGAAATGAAGAAGCACAATTCTATGACTTGCTGCTGAGGACAGAGCTGTGGGTGTGATGGGAACTGGTACTGCCCTTTGCAACATCAGTTTGCCCCTTTGCATGTGGGTGATTAAGATCCCAGCTCTTCCGTTCCGGGAGGGAACCCAGCAGAAATGCATTCACCTGTTTGGGAGGAGACCTGGGAGGGTGTTCCCAGCAGTGTTCACACAAGAACCAAAGCCTAGAAACAGATCTATGTCCATTGGTGTCTGACTCGGTGAACACTGCGATTTGCTTGGTTCATCCTATAGAGCAGCGAGCACTGATGAAAAGGTCCAGTGCCTTCCTCAATGGTGCTGTGTGCTAATGTCCTCCTGAGTCCACGGAGCCCCACACAGAGGCACCCCAACCACAAATCCTCCCACAACTGAGAGTCAGAAAACTCAGCTCCAGCTCTGAGGGGTGCATCCAGGGGTGGCCGACCACGAAGAACAGCAGAGAGCGATGGCCACACACACAGGGTGATGGTCGCTAGCAATGTGGTGGAGGACAGGGGGGTTAATTTTGTGACTGTAGACAGGGCTGACCTGGGGAGTCCTTTTCCTGCCCTGGAAAATGTCTTCACAGGTTTTGGTTGATAATAATTCATGACGTGTATATTTATCTTTTGTGCACTTTTCTGTATGGGTGTCAATATTTCAGGAATTTAAAATGTTAAAACATGCGATGCCACTGAAAGAGGTAATGCAGGCTGAATTCTCCCCACATGTACACATTTCTCTAGCGTCCTTCCCTCAGGATGTTTACAGGGGGAATGGGACCAGATGCTTAGGAGCTGGTAGAAGGAGAAGATAGAAAGACACATCCCTGAGCCTGAGGGAGGGCTGGGAAGGAAAGACCTAGGGGGGATTTGGGGAACAGGAAAATTAAGGTTTGCCTCTGGGGATGCTCTGGAGAGCTGGAGAGAGCGGGCTGGGCATTGCGGCCCCCCACTTGGCCACACAGAAGCGCCAGTCATGGGCTCACACCTGCCAGGGCTGAAGCCTGGGTTCCTCATAGCAGCCTAAGCTGCAGGGGTTAAAACGACTCTTTTACAGGCAAGAAAACTTTCCAAGGTCTCTGTGCTTGGAAGTGGCAGAGCTAGGATGTAAATCTACATCTTTGTCTCCATAACCCATGTTTCTCCCCCAGATACCAAAGTATCAAAATTCTTGGGGCCTTGAATTCCTATTTACACTTGGCTGGAAGTCGGGCATAGGAGAAGGTGGGCAGAGATGGTCAAGGGCTCTGGAGAGTGGGGTGAGGTTGATGGCAAATGGTGTGGTGCCTTGGATGTGGCAAGGACAAGAAGCCAGCTCTCGGAGACGTATCCAAGTCCACTTCGTGTTCTGTGCTGCCGAGAGCACTTGTTTCTTGCTCACAGTTTAGAGACGTATGTGCTTCTCAGAGCCCTGCTGAGGTCAACCTGTGGGGTCTGTAGATGGCTTTAGGGCAGGTGTTTCTTGCTCACATTTAGAGAAGTATGCACTCCCCTGCTGATGTCAACCTGTGGAGTCTGTAGATGGCTTTACGGCAGGTGTTTCTTGGTTGTAGTTTAGACATGTATGCACTCCTCAGAGCCCTGCTGATGTCAACCTGCGGGGTATGTAGATGGTTTTACGGCAGGTGTTTCTTGCTCACAGTTCAGAGGCGTATGCAGTCCTCAGAGCCCTGCTGATGTTGACCTGCGGGGTCTGTAGATGGCTTTATGCTCAGGGAGTGCCTTCCTGCTCCAGTGTTCAAGGAAGGGACAGTAAAGGGCAGGGTGTGCACTACATAACAAGTCCCTCATGTCCTTCGTCCTGGGATTGGGGGCCGGCTCCACGTGTCTCTTGAGAGACAAAGTTGATTCTTATTTCTTCTGTAGGCATTTTCTTTTTGTTTCTTTCTTTACTTCCCCATCCGCCCCCACCCACACCGCCCCCACAAAGATTTGAAGCCTAACATTTCTGGGGGCAGGATTAGAGGTTGTGAACAAAGGCCTTTTTGCCAAGAGAGGGTGTTTGCAGCCCATTATCTAGTATTTGGAAATAGCTTCAGGTTTTTAATCTCATCTCTCCTCTGTGACTGTGCACCCTGACCAAGAGCTGGTTCCTGGCATGAGTA